ATATGGTGCGTAGTATGATAAGTTACTCCACTTTACCGATGAGTTCTGTGGATGGAGGCGTTAAAACCGCCATTCATATTCTCAATAGAGTACCAAGTAAGTCGGTGCCCAAAACACTTGTATGAGTTGTGGACAGGAAGAGTACCTCACTTAACCACTTGCGTGTGTGGGGAGCCTCACGAGGCTAAAGTTTTAACCCAAACATTGGGAAGCTAGATCCCAAAATGCGGTGAGTTGCCATTTCATTGGCTACCCGAAAAAGTCAAAAGGTTTTCGTTTCTCTTGTCCCTAACAGACATACAAAGTTTGTGGAAACGAGACACACTGTCTTCCTAGAGGATGAAATGATTAGGGGAGCATGGTAGCTCGAGAAATTGACCTTGAAGAGAAGCGGGTGTATGCACCCACTCCGATCATTCATGAGCCATTTTTCTCACTACTGCATTGTTGTCGCACTAACAAGATACAAGACAACATGGTGCCAAAGACTGTTGTTATCCCTTTGTGGCAACAATGAATGATGATGAGGAACCCATGCCTCAGGATCCTATAGAACCTATTGCCACACATGAGGGGGAGCAACAACAGCCTCAAACAGAAAATGTGCCAATTGAGGAGGCCCCTAGAAGGTCTCAAAGAGTTAGAAAATCAGCTATTCCTGCTGATTATGAAGTGTACAACACTGAAGAATTTCAAATGGGGGATGATCCCACCTCATTTGAAGAAGCCATGAAAAGTGATCATTCATCAAAGTGGCTTGAGGCCATGGAAGATAAGATGAGATCAATGAATGCAAATAAAGTTTGGGATTTGGAGATAATTCCTAAAGGAGCCAAAACAGTAGGCTGTAAATGGGTCTATAAAACAAAACTTGACTCTCAAGGGAATATAGAAAGATATAAAGCCCGACTTGTGGCAAAAGGCTTTACACAAAGAGAAGAAATTGATTACAATGAGACTTTTTCTCTAGTCTCGTGTAAGGATTCCTTCAGAATCATAATGGCATTAGTGGCACATTACGATTTGGAATTACATCAGATGGATGTAAAGACGGCATTTCTCAACGGAGACTTAGAGGAAAATGTTTACATGGCACAACCGAAAGGTTTTATCATGGAGGGAAAAGAACGTTTGGGATGCCGCCTAAAGAAATCTATTTATAGATTAAAATAAGCTTCAAGACAGTGGTACTTGAAGTTTGATCAGACAATAAAGAATTTTGGGTTTAAAGATAATGTTGAGGACAATTGTGTCTACGCAAAGTTTAAGAATGGGAAGTTTATCTTCCTTGTCCTGTATGTGGATGATATCTTACTTGCAAGTAGTGATGTCAGTCTACTACTGGAAACAAAGAAGTTTTTGTCCTCAAAATTTGATATGAAAGATCTTGGTGAAGCTCATTCGTTCTAGGGATCGAGATTCACCGAGATAGAAGTAAAGGGGTATTAGGACTGTCACAAAAGGCATACATAGAAAAAGTCTTAAAGAAATTCAGTATGCACAAATGTAGTCCCTCACCTGCTCCTATAGTCAAGGGCGACAGATATGGGGATTTTCAATGCCCCAGGAACCAATATGAGATCGATCAAATGAAAGTGGTTCCATATACTTCAGCTGTCGGAAGCTTGCAATATGCTCAAGTGTGTACGCGCCCTGACTTGGCATTTGTTACCGGGTTACTTGGTAGATTCCAGAGCAATCCTGGAATAGAACATTGGAAATTGGTAAAGAAAGTCTTGTATTATTTGCAAGGAACGAAAGGCCTCATGATGATATATAGAAGATCTGATTCACTCCATATAGTGGGATATTCAGATTCTGATTATGCGGGAGATAATAGAAAATCCACGTCTGGATATGTGTTCACTCTCGCAGGGGGAGCTATTTCATGGAAAAGCTCAAAGCAAACCGTCACTACATCGTCCACAATGTATGCCGAGTTTGTAGCGTGTTATGTGGCAACGGGCAGTGAACTGCTAAAGAAGTTCATACCGGTTTAAAGGTGGTTGACGACATCAATAGACCATCGGAAGTTATCTCGCGATAATAATCCAAAGATGACAAAGATGCTCACAACAATAGGTCAAGTGGTGCTTTGCCAAACACATTGACATAAAGTATTATGTTGTGAAGGATAAAGTCCGGGATCAAATGATAAGTCTTGAGCATATAAGTACCAAAAGATGCTCACGGATCCGCTTACAAAAGGCTTACCACCCAACGTGTTCGAGAGAACATGTAGCCGGCATGGGTTTAAGGGAAAGCCTATGATTCCCGGACTATAAAGGGCCCAAAAGTTAAAGTAACTATTTCGGATCGAGACGTGCATTGTAGTCATTAAATCTATCGACGATTGACCGTGATTTATGAGACATGCTCTATGCATCATCTGTGAAGAAAAATGAGTAAGGATAAAAGGATTGAAGTTTAAAGATAAAAGTAATGGTGAGATCAAGGGGGAGAATGTTAGATTGATCTCCTAACCAATAAGCCCAACGACTTATTGGGCCTTGGTCACGCGCCCTGATCGGGGGTGCCCAACCCTACATGGTTGGTGGGCCCCCGTCGCACTGCGCTATATAAAGAGGTGGGGGCCGGCGGCTCAAAGCACGAGGTTCGCCGTGAGCCGCAAACCCCACCGACAAACCCTAATTCCGATCTCGAAGAGGGTGCGCAGCCAGCGACGGGAAGCCGCCACCGTCATCACCGCTCATCCTGTCATGCATCGCCTTTGCATCACCGTCTCCATCGCGTCGCCTCTCTTCACCGACCGTCGCTGCCCGTGAGCAAACTTCACCGACGAAGCTGATGGAGGCCTCTGGATCCACTCCCTCTGGGATCTTAGGTTCGACACCTTCTCCTTCCTCTAGATAGCATTCTAGGTCTACATCGTTGCTGTTGCCCACCGCTCTTGTTGTCTACCCTCTAGACCGACTGCTAGATGATTCAAAGGGTTTTAACACCCTGTACACTGACCCGAACCCTCCCTCTCCTAGCTTGTGCTTGTCCGAGAAGTTGTCAGTGGCAATGGCAAGCTCGCCAGAAGCGAAACCGCTTTGGCCCGGTCCCTTTCTCGAACTCGCCTCTCCGTTCGATGAAGTCGCCGCCTCTTCCGATCCTCTCCATGGTCTCAGATGGCGTGCTTTCGCCATTTGCGCAGGAGGAAATCAATCGACAGTGCCTAGGATGATCAAGAAAGAAGCAGCTCGGCGCGAGACAAGCCGACCACTAGTCCTGTCGACACCGACGGAGAAGGCGGTGACGATGGCGGTGGCGCCGGACGCCCAAGGCGGTGATGTGATGTCGGGCGCCGACTGCTTACACTGCACTGTTTCTACAGGATCAAAAATATTGTTCGGTTGATTGTTGTGAGAGAAAAATACTGCTCGGCGGGACATAAACAAAGTGATTTCGTGAGTGATGAACCAACCAACCAATTGACAACCACCAAATTAACGGCCTCAAGGCGCCATTACATCGCATTTGATGCACGCTTGAAAGTGTGTCCACTCTTATTTTTCTAATTTTAGTTATTGAGCAAGCCTTTTGTTAGCATGTTCGGCTCGTATTAAAGCCGGTTGATAAGCCGATTGAAGCTGTTTTGTTGTGAGAGAAAAATACTGTAGATTCTAGCTGATAAGCCGGCTGATAAATTTAAGCGAACAAGCCCTTTTTTTCGACAAACATCTACACTTGTGTAGGTAGATTCTTTTTTATTTTTAACCTTTTTCAAACAATTTTTAAATTTAACACCGTTGACTTTTTTTCACATCTAATCCGCTTGGCCACGCCTATTTTCCTAGCGCGGCCAAACCGCTCTGACGTGCCATGCATCCTGGCGTGACATGTCAGCCTCCCGCTGACCAGCTGACGTGGCACCGCTATGCCGCTCCGTCGACTCTGGCACGGCAGCTGCCGCGCCAACCTAGATGGCGCGTCCCTTGTCGCGCCAGGCGGTTGGCGTGGTAGGGGGAATTACAAATCCGCTGCACGGCCCTCTTTGTATCTCTCGCTCTATTCCTTTCCTCCTGTGCCCGTGCCGACCCGAGCGTTCGCCGTCGTCGTCTCTCTCCGCCTCCATCCCTCTCCACCTCGGCCATCTCCGGCTCTCTTCCTCCCTCTGTGACTCTCCTCGGCCTCCCTCTCTCACTTCGTCGCCGGACCTCTCTCTGTCAGGCCCCTCGTGGCCGTGCTGCCCGCTGCTCCCCACCGGCGGCTGCGCGCCAGGGGCCACCAGCGGCCCTCTCCGCGGGGCATGCTGGGTGTGGGTGAACCCCCAAGGTTCCCCACTTTGTAGGACAGGTAATCCGCTCTTGATTTCTTGTTGCAATGTTGATTTCAACCTCGATTTCATGGTAGTTAGGGTATGTATAGTTAGGGTTGACACTATACCACAGCCAACAATTAGCGTCGGACAACCGTCGCTAAAACATAATATTAACGTCCAACTATTGGTCGTTATAAATTTTTGATAGATCATCGGTCGCTATTTTCTCTTGTACCGATCGATTATTAGTCGTTATATATATTTGGTTGTTTCGTCGAACCATGGTCGGTATAAACACATATATTAGAGTCAAACTATCGGTCGGTACAGTCCGTTTTCATTTTTGGCGCATCCAGCCCAGCCCACTCACGTGCAATGTAATTGAGTGGCCCACCGGTCATACACTAACACCCAAAAGTCCAAAACCCTGTCTCAAGGCTCCAGCACCCATCGTCCCATCCACCCAGCAGCCGCCACACACGGACTCAACACCAGCGGCGCTCGTCGGGACCTCGGGGGCGGCTCTTCTCCATCACCGCCACGAGCTCGCCGGGGCCGTCATCCTCGCTGCTGCAGCCTCCGTCCCTACTACTCGGTCGTCTGGGCCGCATCCCCGCTGTGCGCTCATCGGGGTCGCAAGGCGGCGGCGCGGCGCGAAGCCCTGATCGATGGAAGCGCGGCGTGCGACCCAGGTACCCCAGGCAGTGTGCGGTGGTGCGGCCAGGCCAAGGGCATGGCGTCTATTCGGTACCGCGCGGCCCCAGTGCTCCAGGCGGCAGCGAGATCTGACGAGGTGGCTCGGGCGGATCCGACGAGGTGGCTCGGTGCTGAACGGATCCAGGTAAGTATTGTCGGCCTATAGATCTGGAATCTGATGCATTTTGGTCTTTTTTAGCTCATAGTGTTTATCGCAGTCCGACATACTTTTCAATTTTCTAAGGCTGTGAGATCGCATTATCAGAGCTGAACCAAACAGCTTCGTTCACAAGAGCGATTCAATATATCAATTATTTTCCTTTGTGCAGTTTACAATGGTGTGGGAGAACCAGAAGGGGTAGTATCCAGCGTTCCAGGTTCCAACGCCTCAGGGATTGTTGTTGCATCGTTGCCTGATCGAAGTGAAATTGCCATGCCGCATGAGGCTGGAGGTGAGAGCCATTAAATTTTACTAGGGTGCACTTGCAGTCAAGTGATGATAACATTTTAAAAATATGTAACACCCTAAAATTTGCCTCTTTTGGAAATAGAGCTAAAATGATTAAATTTGGAATTTCGTGTTCATTAAAATATAGGAAATAAATTTTTTATGAAATTAAAATTTAATATAAGGTTTAGCAACATGTTGTGCATACATGCCGTCGCATTTGATGTATTTGATTGAGTGGTTTTGATTGAAAGTTTAAAATAGTTTAAATTGCTTTTGTAAATGAAATTAAAAATGGCTTTGAGGAAAAGAAAAGAAAGAAAAGAAAATTTGAAAATAAAAGAACTGAAATAGGGTAAATTTATTTTTGGAGAACTTATCAAAATTTCTCAATTATATTTGAATTAAAAAAAATGTATTTCAAATCATATTTGAATTTGATTTGGTTTGCATTCGGATTTAATTTTGGAAACAAAATGGAGAAGATTTGGAAAAAAAAGAGAAAATGATTTCTTCCTCTCTCCTCTTCCTTTTCTTCTTGGCCCGCCCAAAGACTTCGTTCTCCTCCTCCGCACACTACCATCCCTTTGGCCTTCCTCTCATGACGTTGGCGCAGCCGACTCCCCTTTCGCCTGCTCCAACTGGCCCAAGAAAGCCAAGACCCTACCAAAGCCACTACAAAGAAATTTCAACTCAAAGAAGCAGTACTGCGTTGCCTTTCTCTCTCTTTACCCACCGACATCACGCCCCGCCTTTGTCGCCTTCTTCTCCCTTACGTAGCTCCATCGGACTCCACCGCCTTCCTTCCGTGTCGCGTCCGTCCATGTCTCCATCCGGTGCCGTGGCTCTGTCAAGCTAGACGGCCCTTAAATAGAGAGCCTCCGCTCCCATTTTGTTCTCCACCGAGCCCCAAATACAGCACCTGGCCACGCTTTTCCGTGGCTCCGACTTAGCCGTCCGAAGCTCCACCGTGAAGAAGCCGGAGTCGCCGTGCTGCCTTGCCCTAGCTACCTTGCGATCTCGCTTTTGGATCGGATCTCGCCAAAATCGTAGAGACGCCTTGCATTGGCCCGTCGCGCCGCTGCCAGGTTTCGCCGCTTGCCGCTTTCATCACGCCAAGGACTCCGCACCGGTTTTTGCTTCAAGGAAGGTCGCCATCGCACCGCCGAGCCCTCGCGCTGCCTCGCCTCGCTTCCGTCCGTTGTCTCGCCATCTAAAATTCCTTTGGTGAGTTCTCCTTGTTGCTCCGTGTCTTCCCATACATTTGACGCAGAAACCGAGGTCTTTAGGCCCCGCTTAGGTGTTAAGCCCGTGAGCTCTCGCCGTTACCCATGGACGATTTATCACCGCGTGTCTTACTTTTCTTCCACCGGCGTCTTTGGCTGCTCTTGCGGTGCTCGACCCAACCCACGTGCCACACCAGATGAGTGAGCAGCTCCTCGCTCCCTCTCGCACACATGCGCAAGAACGCCGCCGCTGCGTCGAAGCACCGCCATGGCACCACCGGCGAGCTCGCATGCGCATTCTGTTGTGGCCGATCTGCTAGTTAGCTTGATGACATCATCTTCCACGCCATGCTTTATTGTGGCCGTTTTCCTTTACAAAAATAAATCCATAAATACGATAGAAATACGTAATCATGCCGAGTCAGTCTGCTTTTAGATCAATGGTCCAGATTAGAACTTACCCTTCACGTTTCTTTTTGCTAAAGAGTCCCTCTGCTTTTGACAAATAAACCCGCAGTCCAAAACATGTTTTCAGATTTTGTTTTCTTCATTTGAAAGCGTATTTTGTTTCGGTTAAGTCTAAAATACGTTTTCACTATTTACTGATTTGCCAACGATCTTGATTTAGCCATAACTTCTCCGCTTTTAACTCCGATTTGATCCGCTCAACTTGCGTTAGGTTCGTAATTTCATAATCTACGTGTTCATACTCTTCGCTCAAAGATGTTTTTAACTTTTAAATTCGTGATTAGATTTAATCTAATATTCGACTAAAAGAAATCTTGTTTAAATCATATCTTCTGCGTCTTAGATCCGTTTTAGTCCATTCAAGTTGCGTTAGATTCATAGCGTCAAGATCTACGCGTTAGTAATAGTGTTTATCATGTCACTAATACTGGAATTTCATGGTTTAAATCATAACTTGAATAACAATTACGCACCTGGGTTTTATAAATAAAATATGATCTGTTTTACTTTAGTATTACAATTCAAACTTAAACTTGACTTAATTTATATTACCTATATAATATCCTATATATGGTTTTATATAATTAAAACACATGAAGCTAATGGTTTTATGAGTAGATCTCTTGGTAGTTGTATCTTTTCAACCATAGCTCCGAGTTGAGTGCTTTTCGCGTATGTGTGTTCGTAGCGAGACGTAGATTCGTTTTACAAACTTTTCATCTTGATCTTATGTTTGGTGTACTGTTCTAATTTAGATCTATTGTTTGCTTCGTGTATGATTGTATAGATGCTTGTGTGGTGCTTTATGATTACGTCCAGTCGGTGAGATATACGTGGTGATCAAGAAAAAGAAGAACATTGAAGATTAAAGCTTACCGAAGGATCGGTGTTTAAGGCAAGTATAGCATGGGATCTTCCTTATTGTCCTATACACCTTTAATCATTTAATTCATACTGCATGTGTCTACCTTGACTACCACTAAGGATTTCCTAGTACTTTGTACCTTGTGTCTTGATTCCTATGGGGTATTGCATTGGGTAGCTATGCTAGTGCTCAACTACAATCATGATCTTGTAACTTGACTAATGGTATATGCAATAAACACTAAAAGATGTTTTTAGCAACATGGAACAAGGGGGCTAGAGCATTGGGCTATTTTATGGTGCTCTAGATTCCTCTCCCTAAGGACTTATCTGTAAGTGATCATCCGGGACTTACAGTACAGCTGTGAGGGCTATATGGCTCTGGCTTTAGCTCAGTATGAGGACATTTTCTAGCTTGTTAGTGGTTACCTTTATTGGCGTAATAATGGCTTGACGAATCCGGTATAGCACAGCCTCTACTCTTATGTGTATAGCCGTGATGGAATTATGCCATTCGGCAGGGGGGTTCCTACATCTGTTTGCCGAGTGAATCTAATAGCCCTAACTTGTTAGACGAACCTTTGAAAGGCTTCATAGTGAACCCTGCCGACCTTCCTTGGTAGTGGGTCAAGAGGCTGATCACCTCGGGCGAAAGGGTAAATCATGACTCACAGTGAAAGTGTACAACCTCTGCAGAGTGTAAAACTGGTATATCAGCCGTGCTCACGGTCACGAGCGGCCTTGGGACATTTACGGAATAGATGATGAACACAGATGATACTGATGATGAAGATGCTCACTAATGGCTAATTGTTTATGCTATTCATTATTCATGTTTACCTGATCATGTGTTTATGGGCTTGAGGTGAACTTGTTGCTACTTAATTGCTAAAATCATGACTCATTAAAAGCTAATCGCAGTTAAACCAGTGTCAGCCTTTTGAGCCTCATGAACCCCATGTTATATTTGTTGAGTACGACATGTACTTACGCTTGTTTTATTTTCAATTATTTGGATAAAAATCCCGGATGGGTACCAGATTGAGTTTGGAGGAATTAGGCTTGTGATCAACCAGTCAGTTGTCCCTGTGGATTTGGAGTCTTCGCCTGAAGATCGGAGTTGTCTTTACGCTGTCTATACTCTGAGGTAATATTCTTTATACTAATACGCTATGTATTTAAGCATTGTCATTTGATATTACCCTTATTTGTAGCTATATGTGAGATTTGACTTCCTGGGCTCAAATATGGTGTGTATCTGGTCTTGTTCTTAAAACCGGGTGCTACAAAATACACAAGATTTTAGATTGTATCTTGTTTAGACATGGATTGAACGTCAAATGCAGCCTGCAGCCAATTTGTTGTTAAGCCACACCACAAGTTTGTTTCTAATTTGTTGTGGGATGAAGCTAATCTGCACACTGGATAGTACTAGCCCTTCTTTGTTGCTAATTTGTTTTAGGTGTGGTTCCATTTTCGAATTGAACTAGGTTACTGAAAACTAAGCACTGAATTCTTTATCTCTGTTCTAATTATTAAGCTGGCAGCAGGATCAAAAAGTTTAGTTTATATTTGATGGTCATGTGCCTAGTGCAGCTGAACGGATAAAATTGCTGGTGGTCTGAAATTAACACCCCTTTAGTCCTGTGTTTTGACTAAGGCAATGGTCTTGATCAGTCCATAGGACTGATAGCTACGGCCAATGGATATGACTGCTAATTTTTTTTTTGCTCTATAAGCATGGAGTATTAGCTTTGTGATTGAGTTTGCCATGTGATTCAGCCTATCAGGCCTCTTGTCTCTGGCAACGCACCAAGAGATTGGAGCCAGTGGTGGCTCTGAGGCTCTCCATGGCCAGCTGATGCCGCTGTTGGTCTAGGGGAAGTGGATGGATATTTTGGCCATGAAGCTTCTGTGAGTTATGTTTCTTTGCTCATTTACCTACTACTGAGAGGCATGGTAATGTTGAAACTAATATGTATATCAGTATATGCTTTATTATCCCTACTGGTAAAGAATGCATGATTAACAATTTAATTTAATTTACTTTCGAAGCATTGTTATTGATGAATTGTATGACCCTTTTGCATTCCTCGTTACCTTTATTAGACTAGCTTCCATGGTTCCTTTCTTTGAACC